CCCGGTTTGTCCCGCGCCTGGTGCGGAGCCGGTGATGCAGCGCGCGCCAGGCCTTTCATTCTAAAGCCTAAGGCCAACTTTATTAGTGTTTTCAAGTCATACGAGGGAGGAGTGGTGGGGAAACGCACAATGTCCAGGGAAGAAAGGCACCTCCCCGGGGTCTGTGTACAAATAAATACCCAGTGTTGTCTTCCGCGAGCCCAGCCCCGCGCTGCGTGGAGGCGCCTGGCGGCCAGTCCTCCGCCGTCAGCAGGGAAGGCTCCGGCACCTCCCAGGACCCCACCCGGGACAAACGCGCCCCAAGTTCTCGGTAAGAAAGGGGCGCTCGGAGTTACTCTGAGCTCCTTAAATAAGGGAAAGTGTTTCTATAAAAATGCATTAAATGCTGGAAAAAAGTTGCACATTCTGGTGACGCTGTAAAACGTCCATTGAACTTAAATGCAGATCGTTTAAAACAAGCCGCTCCCAACAGGTCACCACCGCCGACGCTGCCTCTGCCGCCCCACGCACCGAGGGCAAAAAAAGGCGAGCTCCGCGCCGGACCGGCCGCCGTCCTGACCGTGTTTGCTGCAGAAGATCTGGCCCTCCTTATCTAGAGCCGTGTTCTGCGGAGAGACCAGCGGGACCGCGCGTTAGCCTGCAGGCCAGGGCGCGGCGACCACGACAGCGCACGACGAGCATGCAGGGCTCAGGGACAGAGGAGGAGAAATAACCGCAGACCTCTCCTAGCAGAAGCCTGCGCACCAAGCTGGCTCGGGGGCCCCTCCCCTGCCTCTCCCTGCCTCTGTGGGTCACTGGGAGTCCTTGCGGCTCACTGGGTGTCTCTGCGTCTCACTGGGTGTCCCTGCGTCCTGCCTGGCAGCTGCGGGGACCCTTCTAGCTCCAAGCTGCACCTGAGTTCTGAGTGTTTCTTCCCCGGGCCCAGACCTGGAGCCCAAAGGTATCTGGTCCCATAAGCAAACCCTAGGAGAAGGTTAGGCCTTTGACCACGAGTCTTTCTCCGGAAAGCTCTCCATCACAGGTGGAAATACAAATAAGTAATCCCCTTACACCTCACGAGGCTGCTTACGCCACGGAAGGCCTGGGGACCGATGCTGCCGTAGCACCCGTTTCAGATCCTCCACGATCCCTCACCTGCTCTGCTTTACCTCCTCGCACCCTGACGTTCCTAATCTGCTCAAGAGGCAGCCACAAACGGTAATAAATCGCCTTGCTTTCTGGCCCTGCCCTGGGCGGGGAGACTTTCCCTCCTCTGACCCATTTTGAGGATTTCTTGTTTGTCCAGCAAGACCCAGGCAGCTCTCAGGCACCGAGCTAAAAGGCAGGGTCATCAGAAGGCGTTCTGCAACCTAACTACCTTGGGGGGGAGGAGGAATGTACCCCGATTCCTTCAGCACTCTGACTGAAATTATAAAGAGGCCTGGAGAAATCTGAATCATCCAGGGGCTTGCTAAGAGAGAGGGCCCCTGGCTGCCTTCCGGCCCTCGGTGTCAGCGGCCCATGGGCCCTTCCGAGCTCAGGCGGAGCACCGGTAATTTCCAAGGACAATGTCAGTGACCAAGCAGAGGTGACTGTGGAAAAACCAGACCAGATACTTAGTGTCGCCCTTCCACAAGCTTCCGGCCCCCAGCCGCCCTTTGCCAGAACACGGACCTCGGGAGAGGCAGCCTTCAGTTTTTTCTACCCCAGAGCTCCTGCCGGTAGAAGAAACCACCAGCCATCCTGTTATTTCTCCTCTTCTCTTCCTGTGGAGAACGTGTGCAGTGGGACAGAGCATCGCAGGCAGTTAGTACATACCATGGCCTTGGACCTAGTCAGAGGGAGCAAAGGCAGGCGGCGGGGAGGCAGGAGAGGGGGAGAGAAGCAGGGACAGAAACTAGACTTACTTTAAACAGAAGCAACACGATTGAAACAGTTTTGTCTGTCTTAAATTAAGCCCAAATCATTCCCAGAGTACCCGGGAAGGAAGCATAATCCCCCTGAGCCGAGAGCACTCTGTTTGCATTCATGGCTCCTCAGAGTCAAATTCCATGGGAACCAGGTTTCTTGTCGTTCCCTTTTCGGCCACAAGGTGGCGACCTCTGATCCCCCCCCAGGCTGGGAGGAGTCCAATGGGACAAATAGCCCCCTGGGCAACTGCACTGTCCTTTCCTCTGGCTAAGGACCAGCCGGAAAAATGCAAGTGCCATCCAAACCAGCAGGCCTGTCTTAAACCAAAACCTACGCAATAGAATTCTCTTCTCTTATCCCAAAGGCTAGCTGACACTACACTGTTTTGCTGATAAAAATGCCTTCTCTGGGAAAGTAGTTGGAGAAAGAGAACAAAGACCTTCACAAAGGTACCCATCTTACGCTGTCACTCACAGACAAAAAAATGCTTTTTCACAGAAGTGGGGGGAAAAAAACATTTATCAAGAGAACTCCTAGAGCCCTCCTATGCACTCTCCAGCTGTTGTCTGCGAAGGAAGGCAGTGGCAGGCTGGGGAAGCTTCCCAAGGGGGTGCTCGGCTGGCCAAGAGGGTGGCAGCAGGTACAGGAGACCTGCACCGAGAAGCAGCTGAGAGCTGGCCGCTGGCGTCAGAAGTCTGAGAGAAGCATGCAGATTTAGGGGGCCGAGGGTGAGAGCTGCTCTGTGAAGCACAGTGTGGTGAATACCAGGTTTCTGCTTCAGGAGTCCCCACAGTCTCAACAGGGTAAAGAGTGGAACTCAGAAGGTGTCTCAAACTGTCAAATCAAACTGTCAAATGAAACGCAGACAACAGCATCAACTGTACTTTCTTTCACTGTTATTTACCATTCCTACCCTTTCGTTTCTCCCAGGAGCCTCAGGCACCAACGTTCTGTTTTTGGGGTGTTTTTTTTGGGGGGGGGAGCCCTAGGGGTGACAGTGGGTAGTAAGTCTCTCTGCCTGTAGGTTACACAACAGTTAGCTGGGGGCCCCACCTCCAACATGTATGCACTGTTCCCACTGCTGTCTGCATCGGCAGGAACCCTATCAGCCTCACATACTCCAGTTATGGAGAACATATAAATACCAGGGAGATTAATTTGTGATTCTTTTTAACATGAGAAACATTGAAAACTGTTCCCAAGGGCAGGACACACAGACACACAGGATAACGACACGGAAGCCTTGCAAGCTGCCCACACACACCCGTGCCCCCAGTCAGGTCCTCAGTTGGGTGAGGAGGAGCATGACGTCACCCCTGCTTTTGGGGACAAGCCAAACTTCACAGGCCGGCTCTCTGGCCATCGGGAATTGGTATCTCCAGAGACAAGCTCTACTGATTTCCCCTGTAGGTGCTGAATGGGACAGTGTCACTCAGCAGCTCCTCAGAGCTAACAGCCTGCAGAGTTGTGGAGGGAACCCGGGGTCAGACAGAGCCCTGCCAACATGCTCCGAGTGACAGCGGGATACATGTGTGAGCACACAATATTTACAGTCACCGATAGAGTTACAGGTAATAGCAGGTTGTTCATTCATAGAAACACCCAGTTAAAGCCTAGAAGTTTAAAATTTGACTGTGGAACTCCATCAACACATGGAGAAATGGGTTCTGTCTGAGGGGGTCTCAACGGCATCATCTAGAACCAAGCCTAGGCGGAAGGGGGGGGGAGCGCACTGGAGCCTGAGGCAGGAGGGCGAGGGCGCTGGAGCCTCAGCAGGCCACAGGCCTCCGGCCAGCGATGCCCATGTGGCCCCGAGTCGGCTCTCCCAGGCCCTGGGCCCAGCTCTGCAAAGGCCCTTCCTCCAGGGGACCAGGCAGCTGTATTAATGTACAGTTACTAGATCTTGATTCTAACTAATCACTCTTCTTAAGGCTCTTCATTACGTGCCAAGTGCACCAATTTATAATGTTTTTCTAAATTTTCCCAGAAGTTGCCTAACTTTGGGGCATGTGGTAGGCTGCACACTCCTTATCTCGTCCACCATCAGGGAATCACTGAAAATGTGGTCCTGCTGTTGGCTCAGTCAAGGAGGTTCTTTTGGCGTTCTCGTTCTCTCTCGTTCTCTCTCT